CATGTATTGGTTGATATATTGTAATGTTATTGCCATCTTTGATGATGGCTTATGTCTTAGATAGGATTAAAAATGTATCAATATGGTGATTTCTTTCGTCTTTCAATGATAATGTTATTAAGTTTTATCAGACAATATGAAAGGAACTTACTTAAAATAAACAGACAAAACTTGTCTATATTATTTAATGAAACATGCATCAATGCAAAAATGCTGCCTAAATACACACAATTTAAATACACACACACAAATATATATATATTTGGTTGGATAGCTCTATCTCTGATATTGAGCGTTTTCTAATAAGTACTGCGCATATAATATATAAATAATTATATATATATATTTATTTATATTTATATACACACACTTTTCACATATATTTATATATATATATATATATATATATATATATTTAAAAATGATGCCATATTTGAAAGTGATATTTCCTTACTTCTGTAGAAAGGTTTTTGCATGTGAATCTTTAAATATATTTTTTGTTCTTGTACCTGGCTATTTTATAGAGAGGAACTTTTTGCCATTTTTTTTTTGTAAATATATTCAAGCGATTTGCTATTATTATAACAAACATGCAGCTGTCTGACATCACTTGGGAGATAACAAATATGGTAAAAGTCACACTTACAAGCATTACAGATTAAAAATATAAACTTAGTATTTACATATTAAGACATTTTAAGATTGTCTCATCAACAAATATCCCAAGCAGATTTTTCTTAAATGTCTTTTTGATTGTCAACAATGAATTCACATGGTGTTTTAATCTTATTAATTAAATGATTCAGTGAAAACAAATGAATATAAGTAAGGGGATTAATTACCTGACAGAAAAATATTGTTTAATCACTGTTCTAAGAGTGTCCAATTTTAGAATTTAGAGAAGTACTACAGAGGGAAAAGAGTGAGTGGAAAGAATTGGTACAATTGTCCATGGTTCCTTTCTCCTACACAATGGTGATGAGAAGACGCAACTCTAGGGTTAATCACTTCTATTCTAATAGTTTCTTTTTTTTTTGCACTTCTCATCTGTGGAACTCTCTTCCGTTCCCTTTTAAACTAGATATGGCAGCAATATTCAAATGGACAAAAGCAGATTTAGAACTAAATTGCTAGACTACTCATGCATATGATCTTATTATAATGGAAGTCTTCAAACAGCACTTGTCAAGTTTGAATTCTAAGTTTTTCTTCTCCTAGACTGGTTGTCAACAAAGGCTAGAGAGTACAGTTTACCCTGCTATGGCAGGGAGGAGAAAAATGGACTCATACCTTTCCCAAAGTAGTGAACACAATGACCTTGATCAAAATTTGAAATTAGCATGCCAATTTCACTATCTACGCCCAGCGTCTCGTATGCACAATTTTGTCATTGCTTGGAGATCTTCCATGCAAACAAAGGAGACTATCATTATTGCCATGTCTGTGTATTGTTTAATATATTGTAATGTTATTGTCATCTGTGATGATGGCTTATGTAAGCTGAAAGCTTAAATAGGATTAAAAAATGTATCAATATGGTGACTTTCTTTCATCTTTCAATGATAATGTTATTAAGCTTGTCAGACAGTATGAAAGGAATTTGCATAAAATAAATGGTTCCTTCTCCCTACACAGTGGTGATGAGAAGACGCAAAGTGTTAATCCCAAAGGTTTGGTATCTGATGGTCGTTCACTCGGCATTATTAATATTACTTCCTTTTCCAATGCATTCTTTTTTAATTGCAGTATCTTTATTGTTAATTTCACTTAAGGTTGTTTTCTGTTGCCATAGCAGGATATGACAACACAACTATGAAATTCAAGCACACTATTGTTCAGGTATCAGCCACCTTCAGTGGCAGAATAAACTGTTTGTGCAGTAAATGAACTCACATACAGCGTGATAAAGGTTAAGGTATCAAATGAAAATTATCACTTTTGTTTTCAAGGTGGGTGACTCTTTGTTTAAATCTTTGATTAATTAACCTGACAAGATTTTCAGTAGAGAGTTTCTAGGCTATGTAAAATATGACAAGTAACAACATGTATGAATAAATGTAGTTTTATGGTCCACCAACTGTTATATACTGGTCATGTTAAAAAGAGTCCTTTTAAAATATTTTTGATTATAATTTTAAGTGGGATTTTAATGTATAACACATATCTTTACAAGAGCTATATAGTATTAAGACAAGTTGGTTATATCTGTCTATATTTCTGAGATGGTAATTTTCTAAGCATAGCCTAGATGTGGTACAAGGCCAAAAGTATGGGATACTAAGTAAGGATTGAACTCACTACTCAGTCATAATTGTTCTAGCGAGACCAGATTGCTAACCATTAAGCTATGTTGAGGTGCCCCTAATATTTCTGAGATGAGGTATTGTAACTATTTACACTATTTACATTGTTTGGCCCAGTGGATAAAAGAGTTGGTTGATTGATCCAAAAGTGACTTGACCCAAAGAGTTGTGAGTTCAATACCTGGCCACAGCAGAGAGAACAAAAACTTTGAGTTATTAAAGGGAATCTATATATAAAATTCTGTGACTTCTGTTAGTCTGTCCATCCATCTGTCCATCACACCCTCTAAAATAACCATATAATGATAGATCAAAACCAAATTTTGAGGAGAAGTGCAAACAGGTAAGGGATACAAAGTACATTTGCTTTTATTAGTGTGCATTGCTTAGTACAATAAATTTTCATTAATTTTTTAGAAAAATTAAGTTTTATTATTTAATATCCAAAATACTTGCAATATTTTAAAAACAATTTAATGATTAAAATAACAAATAATTATTTAATATCCAAAATTTGCAAATTAAAAAAACAATTTAATGATTAAAATAACAAATAATTATTTAATATCCAAAATACTTGCAATATTTTAAAACAATTTAATGATTAAAATAAATAATTATTTAATATCCAAAATACTCTCACTATTTTAAAAACAATTTAATTTAATGACTAAAATAACAAATAATTATTTAATATCTAAAATACTTGCAATATTTTAAAAACAATTTAATGATTAAAATAACAAATAATTATTTAATATCTAAAAATTAACTATTTTTAAAACAATTTAATTTAATGATTAAAATAACAAATAATTATTTAATATCCAAAAATGCAATATTTTTAAAACAATTTAATTTTAAAAAACAAATAATTATTTAATATCCAAAATAAAATATTTTAAAACAATTTAATGATTAAAATATCAAATAAAATTTAATATCTAAAATAACTATTTTAAAACAATTTAATTTAATGATTAAAATAACAAATAATTATTTAATATCCAAAATACTTGCAATATTTTAAAAACAATTTAATGATTAAAATAACAAATAATTATTTAATATCCAAAATAATTGCAATATTTTAAAAACAATTTAATGATTAAAATAACAAATAATTATTTAATAAAAATGCAATATTGTTTGTTTGCTTATCTTTTCTTTAAGTTTTTATATACAAGAATCCAGTTTCCTGTTCTCCCAGTGTTTGTGAGAACTATAAACAAATCACAACCTCAAATGCTTCAAAAAGTTGGAATTTGAATCCAGAAAGAAATAATTACGCATGACCTGTTCTATGTTACATGCTCAAGTGTAAGAAATCCTAATAATTTATTTTTTGCTATTAAAAAAAAAAAGAAATTTTTTAAAAAGTATTTTTTACCATGAAGTTCTATAAAATTAAATTATATTAAAGAAGTTTTTAAAAAGTAAAGTAGGGTTTTTATGAAAGTATTTTTCCAAACAAATCAGCTTATTCAAATTTCATTGATTGGTTTGAAGAATTGAACGAAACATAGACTTTGCAAATCTTGACAAAAAATGTTAGCAATAATTTGAATGATACTAAATACTGTGAGGATTTCAAAATGCATCAGCGTGTCACAAAAAATTTTGTTAACTAAAAAACAGAGATATCCAAAGGCATGGCACATAGAATTAGGATAACCTATTCATGTGGGCAAAATAAAGGGTTCGGTTTGAAATTCCAACAAATATCACCTGAAGAAGGTCGGAGCGTACAGTGGTTGAAACGTAGTGAATGTGACAGTAAAGATGAGGACAACATTTTCCCTAGATTTAAATTCTTGGTAAAAAAAAAAACAATGGCAAGCAGTAAAATTAACCTTCAGGTAAGAAAAGTATTGACCAATTACCAAAAAAAAATGTCACTGTTCTAGTACAGCAATATTCTATTCTTACTGACTTTAACACTAATTATTATTTTGAGGGATCGGCAGCTCCTACTAACATTGTTTTGTTTTAGTTTTATCTTTGTGTTTTATTCTTAGTTTGTTTTCTGGTTTCATCTTCCCACCCCATCATTTAACACTAGGATGGCCAGCTCCTTTGACATCTTTATTTACATTACACCGTGAAGCAGCCATCTTTAATATATTCAATATTCAAGTCAGGAATAACAAGTCTGAAAAGAAATTCACAAATATTAGTATACCTCACACTGAAAGAAAGTGATTATATATATATATATATATATATATATATATAAATTATGTGTGTGTGTATAGATAGATAGATAGGGGACATAAACACAAGTATTATTGCTTGTGAGAAATATTTCAATGCATTTACCCTATAAATAGCCTAAGTGTCAAAAACGACACCTCGGCCATTCAAGGTAAAACCTCAAATATCAGCTATTCCACTGAATATTTTTTAAAGAATTAAGTCTGTTAAGTATCTTTGCTAAAATTCAATAATTGTCCATAAGCCTCAGTATCGAACCAAAACTAGTTATTCCATCGTAATTTGTTGAAAATTTGAAGGTGTCGAAAATGACACCTCGGCCATCCTAGTGTTAATAAATCATGAAATTTTCATTTAAACAAAAGTTTAAAGAATCTAAGTGACCAAAAATTGCATTTTCTTTTTTCTGTTGGTCAGGCTGAGAACTTTTCAGAACCATTCATAAGACTTCACCACCATTTACATTTAATATTACATTCGCTGACAACCATGTCACGTTGAAACACCGATTCTCATCTGATTACCACAGTTAAGCAATGCCAAGCCTGGTCAGTATCTAGATGGGTGACCGCTTGGGAATATCAGGTGCTGTAAACTTGGATGTATGGGTGTTGTAATGAATAACAGCTCAGAATAGTAAATCGGAGTGCCAAGTTCCAATTCCAGTCAGGTTCGTTATATTCACTTAGAGAATGATGCTGGGAATACCATGGACTGAACATGTGAATAACAAGGAAGTTTTAAGGATAATGCAAACAAAAAGGATACTTATACTTAGAATCAGAAAGAGGAATTTGAAATTTCTTGGAAATGAGGAAAGAGGGCTTGGAGAATTTGACACTCACAAGACATATTGAAAGCAAACGGGAAACAGCAAGTAACCTACCTAATGAGCTTGTCTAAATGGATGGCAGAACAAGGAGTGAGAGAGATAATGAAAAAATAAAACTTCCTAAGAACTAGAAAGATTAGGAAATTGTGGAGAGCTATGGTCACCCACTTCCTGAAAAAGACACAGCATATAAAAGATGACACTTGATTGGATTGGTTAAAAAATCTACAAATACACTTAATATATTATAGCGTAAGACTACAATCCAGTTAGATATAACACAAACATGGGCAACCATTTTTAAGTCGTGGGTCACATGATCTATGATTCATTACAAGTCAGGCCGCACTACTAAAAAGATTCAAGGTACTGTAATTTCTCAAAAATAATGCGTACCCATAAATAATACGTGCCCCAACAAATGATCCAAAAATTAAGAAATATATTTATCTCTATGTATAATACGCATCTATAAACTTTGTCAAAAAAAAAAAAAAAAAATAATTATGAAGACATTTTGCCGACATTGACATTAAGAATAAAATTGAAATTAAGTGGCTAAAATAATGTTGAAAATTACCATGCGGTTTTCCTGATAAATATAACATTTTATTTTACCGCCAAAATGCCTCAAAACATGCGAGGGAATGATAATTTGTTTAATGAGAATTTAGATATTGATTCTATAATAGAAAGTGATGATTACGATGATGATGATGAAGAAGAAGAAGAAGAAGAAGAAGAAGAAGAAGAAAATTAAAATTTCAATAAATTGTTAACTTGATATCCTCTTTTCTTTGAAATTGGCCTTTTTATAGATTTTTTATTCTTTCGCCAAATAAAAAATGCGGTTACTGATAAACAAATTTATTGACAAAAAATGTTGCAATTACCATTGTTGGATTTAAAATGAAAATTGGGATAATATCTTTTTTATTTTAGAACAACAAATACGTATTTATAAATTATTATATAAATTATATAATAAATCAATAACAAAATAAATTATTATATAAATTATACTATAAATCAATAACAAAATCAATTATTATATTATAAATCAATAACAAAAAAATATTTGTTTAAACCTATCTATAATACGCACCCCTACTATCACCTGTAATTTACAGAAAAAAAATGTTATTTTTGAGAAATTACAGTAATTTTTCATAGAAGGTACCTCAGCTACTTTTACTACAGAAGACCATATGCAAAAGCAAGCATCTTAGAAATGGTAGGAAAGTTTTATTTTTTAAAAACGTTTTTTATAATTAAAAATTTGAAGTCTTGGTATAATATTATCATTGATAGCAGTGTGATTAACACATATCACTGCATGGGATTTATTTCTAATTTGTTCATTTGAAAATGAAAACATTTCTTCTTTAAAGAAAATCTTCTTATTATGACACGCACCCCATCGGTTCATTCAGGGTTCGATCCCTGCGGCTGACTGCTGTATGGATCACTTCGATCCAAGCCTTGCCTTGTCCCACATTATGTTTGATTTAGCTCACAAGGCTGGTAAGGATCAAACTATCGGCAGGAATCATTGAATTGGTTTGGTCCAGACAGAGTGAAGTCACAAGTAAAAAAATGTAAATTCTATTAAGGAAAATGTTTCCTATAACATTTCTTGTACAGAGCTGGTAATACAATTATCAGTTCTTCAGGCTGGAATATATATTTTTCATGTGGGAATATATATTCTTCATGTTGGAATATATATTCTTCATGTGGGAATATATATTCTTCATGTGGGAATATATATTCTTCATGTTGGAATATATATTCTTCATGTGGGAATATATACTTGTCATGCAGAGTTATCAACCCTTCCTCTTTGAATATTTTATGACACTTTGTTTGTTGTGACTAAGTATAGACAAGGCTTCTGGAGCAACTTAAGTCAGAGGCTTCTTCAGGCAGGAAATCATGTGAGATTGGGTGAAGCAGTTGTCTCTCACCTGGCGTCTGGAACAACTGTCTGTTGGTCGCTTCCACTTTCTGTTTATATAGACCTCCATCCAAAACTGGCATGGAGTCTGACAGGTCCTCTGGTTTTGGTAAATTCCCTAATTTTTACAAAGAGTCCTTTGTCGTCTGGCTCCAGAAAATTAATTACATGCCCAATATTGGGGAGATCCCTCCTCCTAAGAGTAGTAGTAACAGAATATCAATCCACTCCCTCCTTCTCATATTGGTACCTCATACCAATACTACCATAGTGGTATAAGCAATTCCTCCACCCTACTTGATATTTCACCTGAGCCCTTCACTTTGGTTGTCATTTTGACAAATTCGGTTTTTACACTGCATATGCGCATAGGTGCAGCTTACTTATAATTATTAATTTTAATTATCACTCAAAATTTTTGTCAACAGAATTCCTCGACCCAAACCCTATTCTCTCAGTCAGGCATTCACCAAGTGTCCCCATGACCTTCCTTAGCAGTTTTCAACCCTGTAACACTTTCATTTCTTTAGCGATTTACCCTTTCCCTCTTTTTTGACAAAGGATATAAATCAATTCTATAACTGTGGCTTTTGTTCTCAGAAAACCTTAAAAATATTATAAGTTCACTTCTGCAAAATCCTTCAACCTAGCTTTGTCTATAAAATCCAGAAAATTTACCAAATGGCTTTCAAGTATACAAAGAATCAGAGGCCATTATTTTCTTTATCTTTTTGACAGACTTCCCTTCTTGGGTTATGGTCTGTGGGAAATTCCATATCTTGCACTTTAAATAGCGATTATCAATCAGTGTCTCCATTTCAGCCTTGTCTAAGTAAAACACTCTGTTGACTTGAATGCTATTACACACCCCTCCACATCTCTCATGGGTTTAAATTATCTAAATGCTTTTTCGGCTAGATTCTGCAAAATAATAAAGCTGTTTTCCTTCAAGTCATCCCTATTCAATTTTTTATGGTTTATTCATGGAAGAAAAAAAACTTTCTGAATTTTAATAAAATCCTGCTTAATTATTTACATTATTTGGACTATTGTCCTCCTCTTTGTCACCATATTTATTACAACGTTTCGGCTGTTTACATGTACCTTCTTCAAGTGGTTAGAATGTTGAACTGAACCTTTTATTTCGCTCACTGAGGTAGACTGTTCTAGTTCCATGTGCCATGTTTAATGGATGTCAGTTATCAGTTATCTCCTGTTAATTCCCCTCTCCAAGTCCTCTACTGCCGAAACGTTGTAATAAATATGTCGATAAAGATGAGGACAATAGTCCGAATAATGTAAATAGTGTACATAATACCTCATCTGAGAAATATAGACAGATACTAAAGGTCCGAAACGTTATAATAAATATGGTGACAAGGATGAGGACAATATTCTGAATAATATAAATAGTGTACAGAATAACTCATCTCAGAAATATAGACAGATACTAAAGGGCCGAAACGTTATAATAAATATGGTGACAAGGATGAGGACAATAATCTGAATAATATAAATAGTGTACATAATACCTCATCTCAAAAATATAGACAGATACTAAAGGGCTGAAGCGTTGTAATAAACATGTTGAAAAAGATGAGGACAATAGTCCGAATAATGAAATAGTGTACATAATACCTCATCTGAGAAATATAGACAGATACTAAAGGGATGAAACGTTGTAATAAATATGGCGACAAAGATGAGGACAATAGTCCGAATAATGTAAATAGTGTATATAATACCTCATCTCAGAAATATAGACAGATCCTGCCTCATCTTTTGGTATGCCTGTTGGGCTATCTCTTAACTCTTCCAGCATTTTATTGTGTTACATTATGAACATTTCCTGTTTCCTTAGTTTTCATGTCAAATACTTTTTTCCAAAAGTAATAAGTGGAATTTTTACAGTGTCACTGTTTCTTGCAGATGTGTCATTCTTGGTTGGTCAATGTGGTTTCTTCTCTTCTATCCCAATACTGCTGTTTAAATGCTGATTCTCTTCTGCTTATATTAGTAGAGATAGGCTCAACTTAAACATAATTTTATATTCTCGACCTTCCATTTGATTGGCCAACATTGAATCCTTAATTCTGATTTGCTGGTTCTGTTATTTTATTGAAACTAAGTTCATGTTTTGTGTATGTTACACTGTCTAAATGTCTAAGTTAACTAATGTTTTAATTCTGACTACATCTGTCCGTCCACCAGAAAATATCTTTTATTTTTTTAGACATATACATGCAGATAATTTATGGAATGTGAGTTTAACAAATCAAAGCAAAACCGTATAAAACTTTCATAGACTAGATATTTACAGATCACGGTAGCTATTAGTGAGGTGTGATTAAATATACTTAAATGTTTAAAAAAGAATTATTCAGTATTATTATTGTTTAGGTAATAAGTATTATAATATTGCACAAATATCTATATTGACGAGCCGTCAAAAATAAATCAATCAATCTAAGATCAATGGTTAAAATGGCTTTGAGTGAGTAAAGCCTGTGGATCTTGATGAAGACCAACCATCTTCGAACCTAGTGCTACTGAATCGCAAACAAAGAATTCTACCAAACAACAGAATCCACATCACTTGAGCACTTTTAGCAACAACTAAAATGGAGATATCACATGTAACTGAAAAGAGAAAATAATAACATAAACAAAATGCTGACGTTCCACACTATTTCAAAGAAAAGGTTAGGAAGGAAATATCCATCAACACTGGGAAGCGTAATAATAGCTACTGCATTTGAGAAACCTATTTTTCTGAAAAATTGTTTCAAGAGAAAGATTTTATAA